GGTAGAAAGCATTATTCATCCTGTGGTGTAAAAGTATTCCTCTGCAAGATTTATTTCTCTGAGGAATGTACTTTTTGACTGTTTTTAGATGTGCTAAACACCCTTGTAATTGATCATGTTGTTTGTATTAGTAACTCTGCAACTCTTCACCTGTTCACAGAAATTGTCTCTCACTTTTTGGGGGAAAAAGGCAGAACTTTACATACCTCAAAAAAGCAAGAGTCTTCCTAGTTGCTACTTCATGTAAAAGTTACTTGCATTATATGGTGGTAGACAATTTGCAGGCTAAGTTCAAAGAGTTTAAACCAAACTGGTTTAGGAGCTCACTGTCAATCAGTACATGAGCTTTTCAATCTGCTGGAGATGATCACTGAAACCTCATTAAACCTGTCTTTTGTAAAGGCTTCTATACAAGCAAGTACTGCATAGGCATCTATCTAGTGAATCTAGTGGCTGACATATCAAATTCATCAGGTAAATTTGTTTTCCAATGTTGATCAAAGCACAAATGAGGTATCCTGTTTTCCCTGCTATTGGGAAGCTATTCCTGAACCTTCCTGTTCATCAGATGCCATCTTGCAGAGTAATTTTATCTCTTATCAGTTGTGTCTTTCTATTCTTGAACATGGTTATCATTTAGTGTAATGATTTCTTTCATCTGTAGTGTTCATGTCTTTGCATTTTAGTGGATATCTATCTTATTTCCTTTAAATATTTGATCAGTTACAGTAATTGAGAAAGCCTTTTATTCCCTGTTGAGAGAAAGATTGTTTGCTCCTTTGGTCACCCTTTGCCTCTTTCAGAGCAAGTTCGTCTTTCTGTGTGTATGTGGAGGGGGAGGTGTTTGAACATGGGTGAAAAAAAAACGCTTCTAGTATTTTAAAAATATATCACAGAAGCCTTTTATGTACTGATATCAATAGATCCCTTTCTTTCCTGCATATACCTCAATTAGGATATCTAATATCAGATAATGTCCAGTTCTGCCTTTTTGTCACCTGCACCTGATGACTTCTCAGTCTGTAGTAGAAATTCTTGTTTAGCTCCCAAGTGCATGAATTCAGATTTTGTGCTCATCCCATTTCTATTACTCTTTGTTTACTCAGCTATAGAATAAAGTAGCATAAAAAATGATGCATTAGCACACTCCTTTTCTTCATTGGGAATGCTGCCTTTTTTGGATCGACCAATTTAATTCACACTCAGGATTTTGATGCTAAGATGGGTTTTATTAATGAACACAATGCTTGTTCTTTGGTAACTCCCCAAATAGTTAATATATATAGAACTACTTAGCCTTGAAATGTGTCCAGTTGTCAGCTACCTTTTTAGGTAGTTTCTTGCTCACCTCAAACTTATTCCCATTTTTCCCATCTCACAAAGTAGTTAGAGTTACTCTAAGGTTAAAATTTCAACACAAGCAGAAGATCTGTGTTCAAAATCAATTATTGGATAAGGAAGTCAGGATAGTTTTTTTAAACACATTTTTCTTTATGTTTAGGGTTTCAAAGTGGGCTTTTTGCATTGGATTAACAAGTCTGCAAATGCCTTCTCTCTTTTCCATTTCTCATTTATGAATGTATGGGATGTATTTGCTAATCATCTGATATCACCTCTGAGTTTTGCTTGTATCTGACTTGTGTTAATTTTCACTTTCTGAAACATGAAGCATTTCCATTATTTGTGTTTGTTCTTTCCATGATCAGTATCATAACTGTTATTAAACCCTGAAGTAAAATATTTTAGGTTTTTATTTTTGTCTTTATGTTTTAAGATATCCTACTTTTACTTTCTTATTGTTGTTCACTCTCTTGTGCTCCTTCTCTCTCTAGACAATCTTTACTGTCTATTTTGACTTTCCATGAAAAGTCTAACTCAGCATGACTGCTGACACTTAACATTTCCAATGCTTCAAGCTTCTATATCAATTCTATTTCTAACTTAACTTTTTCTCAGTCATGAGAGACTTTCCCTTATGACTTCCATCCCTCCCCTACTATAAGGGACATTCACTTGTGAGGGAAATTCTCAGTGTCCCTCGTGAGAGAACTTTTCATCAGACAACTGAAGAAATTACTAGCAATTCTGCATGTAGTGTGTAGCCGCCTGGGAATCCTACAAGCTGTTCCGTGCTATTTGAGCTATCCAAATGCAGCATTTTAAGACTTCAGGCTGTGCCATTTTCTAAGAAAGGTAATAAGCAGAGATGCCTATACAGTCCTCTTGATAATAATGATAATAATAATCATCCTCTAATATGTTTACATGAAACCCACTGAACAGGACAGTCAAAGTTTCGCAGATGTTGACCATTCACAATGATGTCCTTCTCAATGTCTTTCTGCCTAAACTGCTTTGTGTGCTGTTACCGAGAAAGAAATGTGCCGTAACTCACCCGAGACACAGGTTTTTATTAGCATTTTACCGCAAGTTGGGTGTGATGGAACTTAAATTTTAGAAGAACATTAAGCTTAAATACTGTTAAAATATGATGTGTTCATTTAGTAGTAAATTCTAGTAGTTGCAGATCCTTTTTATGTTCAGGTTGTTATCTTGTAATAAAATGTCAGGTACACTGAAATTTTTGAATTACTAGGATAGTATACTGATTTCTTCCTTCTAACTTTAAATTTGAATTAACCAACTCTCCAAATTGGTTTACTTCTAAACAAGATTTAAGAAGAACAGTACTGGTATTATGTTTCATTTATCTATTTTATACATTTAAAGTTTATACGGCAATCTGTGCTGCAGGAAAGCTACAGACAATAATTCACCACATCTTTGAACTCGTTCATGTGATTCTGGGTATGGCTAAAATGCACATTTGTGAAATGCTTTTATGGCGATGAACGAACCTACAACCGTATTAAAAGATGGTGACTTGCGATGACTTACGTGTTAGATGTACGTGGCATGTGTAGAAGTTAAATATTGACAAAGTTCTAGTCAAACATAAAAGTCGTTAGGGTAGGTGGTTGCTACAGTTGTGATGCAAATAGCTCCAAATATGTTCCCATGTTTTCACACTATTGGCGTCTCCCTGTCTGCTTTAATGAAAATGCAGTTTTGGAAATCCCTCATTTCTTTTTAGATAAAGCCTTACATTAATAGTTGTCTCTGAAACGCTTGCCTCAAATTTGCTAGGTTTTTATTTCTGTAGCTGTGTATTTGGTTCCGCCCTATATTCCTTTCTGATCACATCTTCCCAGTGTATTTTGAATGTCTCTGCTCACGTCCGCTCTTTATGTACCTGTGAGCTGCATCAGCTCAGTCCTTGCAGTCACTCCCTCTTCTGCTCTAGTCTGTTTCTAGGTAAGGTTATTTTTAGACATAAATCTGACCAGCATTTCTGTTTGTGGCTCGTGCTGATCACTTGTACTCTACACTATCGTTTCTGATCTTGTCTTGGTGTTGAGCACCATTGCAAGTCCAGTGTAGCTAGAGCAGAGCTCCTGTTCTTGAAAAAGTGTGTGTTGAACTTCTGGAGCCAGCATTTTCTTGATCTGGCTCCTGCTGCTGAAGGACCAGCTGCTGTGGCACCCAGTCTTGACAGCCAGAATGTAACAATGGGCAAATCTTATGAGGAGAGGCTGAGGGAACTGGGGTTGTTTAACCTGGAGAAAGGGAAGCTCAGGTTTAGAGAAAGAAAAAAAGAAACAGAAAGAAGAAAACACTTCCTCCATGACAGAAAAAACATTTCTTTCATATGCTGAAAAACAGGAATAGATTTAAGCAGCTATATTCTTCAGAAGATTTCTTGTCTTGACAGATACCTGTGTGGCCAAAGGAGAATATAATTTAAAATTAATAATTTTTTTTTTAATTTCCCCTAAAATAAACATCTTGTGTCTTTTTCTGAAAGGTGAAAAAAGGGAAGATTCATTTCTCTCAAATGGGCCTTGGAATGTGCTCCATTTACTATTTCACCGTTATAAATTGATTCTTGGCAATGTATATACTAGTACTGCAGATGCAAGTAGTTTCCAGATAAAAGAGAAATGATCATTCTTGTGACTGATGTGTGGAAAGGTGTGGGGGAGGAAAAGTGATTCCATGGACATTATGTTTTTGGGAGTACTTCTTCCCAGCACCTTCTGAGACTAATTTAATCTGGCAGAAGGATAACTTCAGCAGCGGTGCCTGCTTTAATGTGTTGTCTAATTAGTCATGAGACCTAGTTTTCTTTCTGGCAAGCAGTAAATAAGCTTGGGTTTATTTCTGGATTACAGGACAGTAGTTAAAGCAACCATTAGAAAAAACATTTTGGTAAACATTTCTTTGAAAACGCCCTCATGTTCTGAGAACAACAGTCCGTGAACTTCAAGCCAAGTGAGGCAGGGATCCAAAGCAAAAGAAAATTATTGTTAATAAAATAATTATGTGGTGATCAGGAACTGTGTTGTCCACACAAAGAATTGGACCAGCTGCACAAGCTTCTTTCTGGCATCCTCAAATCCTGATGTTCATCTTTGACAAGAAAACAGTTGTGTTTGTGTGTCATTATTGATAGAAAGAGTGATTGGGCATTGGAATGGGCTCCTCAGGAAGGTGGTGGACTCTCTGGAGGTGTTTAAGTAAAGACTGGATGTGGCATTTAGTGCCATGGTTTAGTTGACATGGTGGTGTTTGGTAGTAGGTTGGACCAATTATCTCAGAGGTCTTTTCCAGCTGAGTTGATTCTGTGATAACATCTTTTAAGATAGACACTATTGGCAAGCGGAATGGATAGGTGGGATGGGCAGCTGTGTGCTGAGTGTGGGACAGAGAAAGTAGGTAGTGATGGGAAGCTGTGGTGGCAGAACAGCAACCTATGACATGGAGGCTGTGTATATCCTGATTTTGATATTTTAAAGATAATGGGCTGAATCGGTGGCATTTCTTCTTCTAGGGCCTGTGTTAGGATCACTTGTTTGCTATTTGACTTGTTTGGTGGTTTTGTTACTGTGTTTACTTTGTACAGGCACAGAAGTAACAAGAACTTCTCTGTTTCTCTGCAGCTTTTACGAGAGTTGAAGCACCCAAACGTGATTGCATTGCAGAAAGTTTTCCTTTCTCACAGTGACAGAAAGGTTTGGTTGCTGTTTGATTATGCTGAGCATGATTTGTGGGTAAGTACAGATTTCCCTGTGTGTTTGAGATAGTGTAATAAGAGCTTGTTCAAACTGACCTGTGTGTGACATAACGTTATATAGGCAGAGATGCGTAAATTTCTTTCTCTGTAATTAAGGATCTAACTGACATTCTGTTATTTTTACACTTTAAAGCCTGCAAAAAACTATGTAGAATTTTTTTAAAGTCAGATTGCATTTTGAAGTGAAAAGGATTTTCCTACAAGCTTTAATTGGACTTAAAGACAGCATTTCTGAATTGGGATCTTCTAAAGCAGGGTTTGGAAATCTGTTTAATATTTTTTCCTGCCGTTTTGCACATGCACACACACACAAATGAAAAAAAGGAGAGAGACTGTTTTACAGAGTCCTCTAACTGAGATATAGTGCAAGTAACCAACATACTATCATCTGTATTCGAAACAGAGAATTTGGGACAGTATGAGTGGAAAGAAAATAAAAAATGAGTAAACTAATTGGGTCTACTAATGGACTGTTACAACATGGAAGAGGAGTAGAGACTTAGATGTCTGTTTTTAAGTTTCCAGCAAAATATAGTATGATTTGATTTTAGTCTTTTGGAGAGGTGGACATAAACGATATCTTGAGTTGAACTCAGATGCAAATATTCAGGCTCCACATCTACTGAAAAGATGTGAGTTGTGTGAACCCATATTTGTGTTTAAACCCAAATGATACCAAACACTTACCAAGAACAATCAATATGTTTATAATTCCTTTGAAAATATTGGCAAGGAGAGGAAGTGTTAATATTAATTCCAATATTGCTTTTTAAGGCCTGAGTAATATAGGAGTTGCTATTACTAATGTTAGTGACAAATTGCTCGGTTTTTTTGTACTTAGATCTTGAGCTGATGAATATGTACTTGTAAATACACAAAATTGTAGTTGGAAGTAAAGTAGACTTAGACCCTGCAAAAAGACACTTCTGGCTCAGAACAGGTAGTGTCATGGTATTTTACCTGCATAAGCTTAAAAAATATTTAATTTTATTTCTCCTATGGGCTATCAGTTTTGTATTTTAAAAGTTTTCTTCATCAATGTTCAGTGTAAACTGAGAGTTTTGTATTTCTCGTAACTGGTGGCAGCGATGATAAGAGGGAATGAAGCAGCTAAACCTCTGTATGACAATTTATTTGTGCATCACATGAGTGTATCCATTTTAAAGAACAATCACAACAAGCACGTTTTACGGCTACATTTACTGCCATGTTTTAAACACCTTTTTTCTAGCCTTTTCCATTTGGTTTTATCTTGGGTGTGTGGTTTTTACACTGCATAATGATTTTTCACATGATTTAAGAGTTTTAGATGAAGAATCACTGCAGTTTGTTCTTACCACTCCTCATATCTGGCTGGGTATTGGATAAAATCTCAGTGAAGATAATTATTTTCTATTATTTAAGACTGAAATGTTTGTTGCAACAAGGTATTTGATGTGAACTGATCTCCCACTTCCTAACTCTCTCATGTTTGGTTTGGGTTTTTTTTTGGTTTTTTTTTTTGTTTTGTTTTTATGGGACATGCTACACAAATCATTTCTCCTTTCCTGTATAATTACCCATGTTTCCTCACTTCTTAAACCTTTGCCAGGAATTTTTTCCTCCCTTGCATAAAGTTGGCCATGTTCAAGGCACTCTTGATTCTGGCTTAACCTTGGTCCTCATTTCCTTTACTGTCAGCACTTCCCAAGCATCGCTCTTAATTCCCCTTTTGTCTCTTTTGCTCACTCCCAACTTTGTGTCTTTTTCCACGCTGCCTCCTACACATGGAACAGCCTCCCAATTAACGTACGTAAAGATCCTTCACTATCCTCCTTCAAAAAACTCCTGAAAATCCACCTATTTTGTAACGCATTTCAGTAATACCAACCACTTGTCATTCTGTCTGTGTTGTGTTGTGTTTTGCATTTCCCGTGCTTTACAGCTTGTACCCTTTCAGCTGTTTGGGGTAGAATTTGTAGTAGGGGACTAGCACATTTTTTTTTTTTTTAATTGCTTATCATCACGTGCTTCCCCAGCACTACGTAAAACCAAAATAAGTCTATTTATCGTGAGTATACCAGTTTGTAAGGATTTCAGTTTTGGAACTGTAGGTGTGCTGTCACTAGAGAGATGTAGATTCCCAGAGACCAGTGCTTTGAAATACAGGTAGCTTAGAGTTACCCACCAAAGTCTGTAAGTATGGGAACTGTGCTTCTGTTCAAAGCTGCCCAGCTTTAGTAACTCCTATTGGCTTCAATGAGAAGAGTACGTGCTCATCACGTACAAACATCAGATTAATTAAAATCATTATATTTTTCAGCTTCTGTACTGAAAACATTTGGCAAGAGATGAATAAACTATATTAGATGCTATCTTATTCTGTTCATTTTCTAATACCGAAAAAAAATATTGTCCTGTTCTAATGAGGAAAAGTGATGGTGCCAATTAAGCTTATTAAAAAGTTCTTTTATGGTGAGCAAGAACTTTTTTTTTAACTTTGCATTTAATTCCCATGAATTAAACTGCTTAAATTTTAAATTTGAGTTTCGATAGCTGCATACTTCAACATTTTCTATAACGTCTGTTGATACCATTACGAAGGGATGTAGAAAGCTATGCTAATTTGAACTACTTTTGACAGGTATTGATGAAGACAGATTGTGTTGTCCTTTCCTACAAACTTTTTTTCCAGTTTTAATAACTAAGTCTATCAAAGATATCTTCTTTCATTATCTGTCAGTTTACATTGTATAAAACACTGCAAAGCCATTAATGAGGTTACCATACAGAATATCTAAGAATATAGAAATTGTTCTGACAAATTGATTTATAATTAGTTTCCTTTAATTACCAAAATTCTTAGTGTAATACACAAATAATCTCCTTGTGATTTTTCTTGATTATTTGTCTCTGCCAAAGAGAACCAGTAAAGTTCTCAGACGTAGGATGTGCCACACATATTAATTTATAGTGTATTGTCTGCACTGTCATCACAGCTTATATATATACTCATTCTGTGAAGTAAAGGTGCCTTAGCTTGAACCTCAGTGTAAAAGGAGCATCTGATACAAGGTTAAAAATGTGTATGTCCTCAGGTGCTATTGGATATCTTAATTCCTGACAGCTCACTTCAGTTTCACATCTTTATATTACAATGGCCTGAAACTTTCAGCTACAGGAACAACCATCTTCTGATCCTTCTCTTGTGAGGGACTTTCCTTTCTCAATATCTACTCATAAGATCCTGGATGCTTTAATCCAAATAGTACAATTTAGCTAACACAAAAAGAAATAAGCACTTAGCTAACACGTAGCTGAGTTAATCTTAAATCCCTGAGTGGAACTGATGCTATTTTTAAGTTTCCACTCCAGTACATGGTTAGAACTTCATAGATTTACAAAACTATGCGTGGATGAAATCTTTACAAGAATGAGTGTAATTGCTTCAAATAATATGTGTATTTTTCTGCTATGTTAATTTTTTGACCATGAAAAAATTTCTTTTAAATTCTAGAGATTTTGATGTTTTATCACTAAATTTTCCTATTGCACTTTAATGTATATTCTTATTTTACATTAGTCATAAGTTGTATACAACTCTCCATATCTTCCTATGTAAAGCTCATGCATTTTAAGACATTTTGCAAGTTCATATAAAATTTATACATTAAATGTATGGTGTTTAGTTAAATGGACTTTGAAAAGGTTTGATACAAACGAGATCTGCTCTAGAGGTGAATTCTCTTTCTTGTCAGTCTAATTATTTTTAGCCATTGGACAGGTTATAATATTGAGAGCTTTTCTTTTGTTCCCAGCTACTCTCCTAGTTTTAAAGCATCAGATTTTTAGGATTGAAAATATTTCTAAAGCACACATTTTTAGTACCACAGATAAGCACACATTCGATGTTTTCAGTTTTATAGCCTCTGTATTTTTAAGTTGGATTTTTGATTCTAAGCAACATTTTTGTTAAGCTCCTTTTTTTTCTGAATTAATAGTTTACCTACCTTTCCTGGTTATGGTACAGAGTTAATTCTCAGACTTACTTAATATGTATGTATAACTTCAAATCTTTGAGATCCCCTTTTCTAGAAATGTAACTAAATCAGAAGCTTCTGGGTGGTTTTCATCGCATTCTGAAAAAGTGACATTTTTAACACAGTAAAATGTGTTGAATGTGTTTTATAGCAATGAAAACCATATTTGAGTCATAATAAGTGAGAAAATAAATAATTACCTATGATTTGATAGTACTGAATGATGATGTCTTCACTATTCAAGACCAGTTAAACCATGATCTGGGTATTTTTTAGGTTTGGTTGAATGTTTCTCTTACTATTAGATTCCAGTGGTCTCTAGCAAGTAAATGCTTTGCAGCAAATACCACTGAGAATTGTGGAGTAAAATTCATCTTGAAATTATCGTTCATAATAATAAAAATGTGTGGGCAGACTGGCTTTGTTTTATATGAAATTCTTGTTATGTATATATTCTACTTTTTAAAATGTAGGGTAGAGATTATTAGCATAGTCATGAGTACCTAAAAATAATCATCAGATAATGAAAAGGAGAAAATCTTCTTCATACATGTGATTTCATAACACTAGTTGACTCTCTCAGTATGCAATAAATGTACTTAATTTCAGCTAAAAACATTTTGAATAATGTTCTTTTATGATAAATGAAATTATGAGAGTGTTGCATACTGATTTGTGCAATAAACCTGCACATTTGCTCAGTCCCACGAATGTTGTATAATAGCTTTAACCTATTTATATAATTTTAACCTATTCCTTAAACATGGTGTAATCAGTTATAATTCTTTCTTCCACAAGCTTCAGTTTAGCTCTCAGTACTGAAGATAATTTGCATGCTAGTTGATCACAAAAATCTTCATATACATGAAAATACTTTTCTCAGTACAGGAGTTTTATTTTTTCTTTTTTGATTTTTCTAAAGTCATGTCTATATTTTCGTTTTAATTCAGTCCTGCTC